ATCATCTTTGAAGAGAACCAAGAAAGACTGGAAAACTGGCATTTTGTTTTTGCCAAGTTGCTTGACCGCAGCATCCAGTTCTTCAGGACTCGGAAGAACATCAAGGTTCTCCGAGTCAGCCATTTTTAATTTTGAATTCAACATTTAAACAGTTAATTCAACATTCAATGATTTAAATGATGATATGACAATGTTAAGAGGAAAACGTTGAATTAGCACTTAAGTTGTTGATTGTTGTTGTTGTTTAACATTTATAATGTTGGATTAAACACTTCCAAAGAGTGGTCACTGACTGCACTCTTGTAAATGTTGGATTTAACACTTCAGTTTTTAGCGTGTACCATAAATGAGTAAAATGATGCCCCACCTGTTTGGTTTTTGACAGCTAGACAAGCCTAGCTGAGAGGATATCTAATTCAATGCAATTAACGCAGCAAACACAATTGACGCAGCCAAAACAAAACATTCTATGCAATTGCTGCAATTAAAACAAGCTCCACAGCTTTCTAAGGCATTTGAGTCTTCACAGTCACAAGAATCATAACAAAATACACAATTTATACAATTGCCGCAGGGACGGTTTTGGGACTCGTCAACTACCACTGGTTCCATACAAAAGACTTTGCAAAATTAGCAAAGCCATCGTATAAACTAGAAAGAATACAAAATTCAAATGGCTGGATGAACATCAGCAAGCATTTCAAAAACTAGTTTCTGCCTTGACAATGAGTCCTGTTCTAGCTTTTCCCCACAACAACACAGACGTACCGTTTATATTAAATACAGACCCGTCAGAAGTTGCCGTCGGGGCAGAATTAATCCAGATGCAGGGGACGTGAAAGAGTAATAGGATATGGTAGCCTTGTGTTGTCCCCATCTCAAATTAAATATTGTACTACACGTATTACTACTAGCAATCATGCGGTTTACACTTCAATACCAACACTACCTACTTGGACGTAAATTCTGCGTCAGAACGGACCACAGTAGCCTTGCCTGGCTTATGCGTTTCAAGCATCCTTCTGGTATGTTAGCTAGATGAATAGAGGAA